TGTAGTGCTTAGTTTGAACTGTTGAGGTATGTTTGATATTCCTGAACGAGGTAACACACATGCAGTTGTTTGTCATTGTAAGGGATTATCTGCTGGGGCACAAAGATCTGGCTGTTTGTGCGGAGGTAATGGCTGCCTAAATCTGGGTTTAATCTCCAGGCACAGCAGGCTTCCTAATAAATATGCCCACGTACTGGTTGTGTGGAAATAAACAGTTTCTTCTCTCTTGATCAGTTTCTAGCAACACTAAAACCCCCCAAAACATTGTGTATTTTTTTCCTTCTTGTGTACAGAGGTGGACATCGAGGGCATGGAGTTCACGCCTGTTGAGGCAGACAGCGTGGACAGCATCAGCGACGGCGAGGAGGAGGACCAGTACAGCCTCCAGAGCAGCTCCAGTGACAACAGCTACACGGGCACACATTCCCACAGACTGCAGCCACACCACTGTTAGACCCATGGCGGACATCCATCTGTCGACCAGCTTCCACACCCATCCACGCTTCCCTCACCTCATCCCCCTCCCTCCCACTCTCCCCCTTTTGTGTTCACCTACGCCGCCCACTACCTACACCACCTACACAAGACCACGATGGCAGTACCCCCGAGCCTATTCTGTCCACACTTAAGACTTGCTGACTTTTCCTCCCTTCTCTGACCACTGATCCTACCTCACCATACTGTATCCTGCCTGACCCCGCCCCCTCCTTACACACCTGCCCTTTTTACCACCCAAACAGCGCAGAGCAGAGCTTGTAGTTTTTAATCTGGGTTCTGTGGTCAGGTGCGCAGCTTTGACCTGTTAATTGGTTCGAGAAAAGTAAAAGGAGAGAGTTATTATCAGGTGGCAGTAATACCACACACAGTTTGTGATATAACAGATGAAGCAGTTTGGTTTGTTCTGCAGTATATGCAACATTGGGAACCTCGGTAGTCATTTTCATCATACAGATTCTTCCCTTTTACACAACAGGATTGTGCAGGAGGTGTCCTGTCCTTTCCTTGAAACATCTGATTGGTGAAAAATGACGAAACCTTTAGAGTTTCTCATTTGGAGGCGGTGGCAGGATGTTCTCAAACCGCTGCCACCGCCCGAGCGTACCCAGTATGGGAAGCATTTTGCTTCACTTTTCGTGCGCATCGAACAAACAAAGCACGACTCTGATACCTTCACAGTCACTGTGCACTTGCGAGAAGTTTATCCACCGCATCGAACTCTCCACAAAACGGTGAATTAAGCTTGCCCTTAAATGTCCAAACTTCTTACTGACTCAACTCTGCACACATGCTGAAAATGTGTCCACAGACCACCTGAGAAGGTTCGAGAGCTGCAGCAGAGCAGGAAGAATGTAAATAGATGTACAGATACTGTAGAAACCCTCGTGTCTCCCCTCTGGTTGGGTTGCCTAACCACTACTCCACACTACTGACCACTACACTATACCACCCTATGGTGTGGATGGACTACTATGTCAAACAATGAGAAAAAAAAAGGAGTTTCCTCAAAACTAAAACTCTACTCCTTACATTTGACTCAAATCTTGTTTCCTTCTCAGTAGCTAATTGATGTAGCAATAAATACATGAGGCGGGTGCTTCCTCTGAGTGTTTAATCGATTCTGGCAGACCATGAGGTTCTATGGGAGACTTTTTTTTTTCTATTTTTCTTTTTTTATTTCTAGATGGGGATTTGTCGCTCACCATTAACAGACCTGCATCTCCTTCACTAACGGATGCTTCTCTGTGAGCGCGTCACCATCTACCTAGATCTCGCATTTCTCTGCAGCTCTTGTCGCCTTCTCGGTCAGAAGTCGGTGGTATTTTAAATATTTGTTTAAATCGATTAACAAGTCAAAGCTGTAAACACCCGGGAGGGGAGGGAGGGCAAGCTTGTAGTGATTTGTTCATTTTAGAGGCACTCGTTTTTATCTAACCGAGCAAACTAATCACTTTCCTTATCCCCTCGGCTGTTCTGTGGCTTATTTGCGAAGCTTCGGGCACGGCTGAACACCGATGTAGGTGAACCTTGTTCTCTAACCCGTCTGTAACTTATGCACATTAGTCACTGTTGACGAACGAGGCGCTTCTGTCGCTCTCTGACCGTTTAATAATCCTTAGCCCCGGTCTCTGGCAGTCCTTTAGAGCTTGGCACTTTAAAAAGAAAAAGAAAAAAAAACACACAGACACAAAAAGGGGCAGGCCATTGAGACGGATCTGACCCCACCCAAAAAAAAAAAGAAAAGAACTACAAAAGACTCAAACGAAAAAGAAAAATACTTGCATACAGAATCTACTCGTCACTGAAAGTGAGTTTAGCTAGTGTAGTCTATATTTCTTGTATTAAATTTTGTATTATATTTTCCTAAATGTTCTCTTGTAATGAAAAGACAAAAAAGAGTGAGTATATCTATCTTATCTATATATAAAAAAATATATATATATAAATATATATAAAAATATGAGTGACAGCCAGACAGACAGGAGGCCAGGCTTGATGAAGGGAGAGTGGGAGCAGGGGAGCTGATAGACTGGCCCCTCTCCCTTTGGGTGACTCTCCTGCTGTCATTCTGTGCCTTGGTGAGCCTTCGACCTCCCTCATCCTCCTCCTCTTTGGCCCTTACTCAGGTCACGCTCCCCCCTGTCCTCTCCCCCTCTCGCTTGCATCCCTCCCTCCTCCTCCTCTGGCGGGGCCTTTTTTTAATTTCAACGTGAGACACTTCCATGCGTGAGGGCCGCGTGAAGAGAGAAGACCTCATAAATGAGTAAAAATTATCCCCCCCACCTCCCCCTTTATCTCAGTTCCTACTGAAGCCGCTGTTGTACTACACCCTGTCCAGGCACTCCTCCGCCCTCTCGCTGCCCGCCCGTCTGCCAGCGCCGCCTCTGTCATGGAGATAAAAAACAAACACACACACACACACACACACTGGTGAACTCCCATGGCAGCTTCCAGTCGCCCCGAATGGTCACCGAAGGGGTTAAAAACTTCTGGGCTTGAAGCGTGTTTATCTTTATTTTGATTTTTTTGTCATTTTATTATTGTTGTATGTTGACTTGTTTGTTCGGTGGGAGCCACTGGGAGAGGAGCGATAAAAAAACAGAATAATCCAATCAATGGCAGCTTAACGGTGTTATCCTCCGAGCTCCCGGTGGTGCGTCCCAAACAAAGTGTTACCCATCGATCAGGGGACCTCTTGAGACACAGCAATATTACCATCTTGTGCTTTCTGAGGGAGGGTGGGGCGGGCGGGGCGCAGGGTTTTTAAAGACAAGCAGGTGGTTTTTGCTCTTGACTCTGTGGTGCATTGTTTTTTTGTTTTTGTTTTTTTTTGGTGACCAACTCTTATATATATTTTTTAATTTTTACCTCCTATCTGCACTCTCTCCATATTCTGCAGGAGGGGAAAAGAGTAACTATAGATGAGGAAAAAACAGCTGTTTGTTTTGGGGTTTTTTTAATCATCGAGTTTACATTCATGTCAAAGACTTTGTACATGACTGTTTGTAGCAAAAAATGTCCTTTTTTCAGTTTGTCAGTCAAATGAACAACTGAGTAAACCATTACTAAATGGCATATTCTCTCGCACAGAACCTCCCACAGCGATAATTGACATAAAAAGAAGCAGAAGACAAAAAGAGGGAGGGAGCGGGACGATGAGGCGGTGGGGGGGGGGGATAGATATGAGATTAGAGATTTTAAAAACACATACATATATTTTCACTCAGTGTAGTGTATGAGCAGCTGATTGGACATGCAGACATTTTGCTTGAATGTTGGATGGATCGTGTTTATGGGAAAATCTTTTAATGATGTGCCTTGGGGGGTGGGAGGGTTCTTTAAAGAGATTGTACCACTTAATGAACACTGTTGAATCAGTTGCCCTAACTTTAAAAAAAAAAACAACGAAGTTCCCCATCTTGTTCCACTTCCCTTCTCGTGACAGAAGAAGCAAACGGTTAACGGCAAGACACAGAGGAGAGTGGGGTTGTGCTGGGGTGGGAATGTTCATCAACATCAAAGTGGGATTTTATTTTAAAAAACAAAAAGTCATAACAAGTACACAAGAAAAGATTTGATGTTATTGCTTTCATGCTGCTGTTGCACAGAGATTTCTAAGAGCACAAAAGTTTGTTTTTTGGGTGGGTGTCAGCAGGCGGAGAAGAAAGAGGGTGGTGGGCATGACGGAGTATGGGGGGCGTCTGCAGCTCACGTGCACACAGATGAAGTGAGAAACACGTCTTTCTGTCCCTTAGCCTGCTGCTGCTTTAAAGGTGCTTCTACAAACCCACAGAATGACTTCCATGAAATCTTATTCCTGCCAAATAAAGAGTCACTTTTGAATCTTTTTAATGATTAATACGATAGCTTTAACTACCTGTAGGCTTTAGGCTTCCTGCTTTCTGCACTTCAGCCTTTTATTTTGTATTTTCTCCTTAATTGTTTTGTCCTACAACGTTATGGTTCCTTTTTTTCTTTGTACCCACATAGAAGCTAGAGGCTGAACTGGCTTGGATTTAGTTGAGGGGGAGATGATGAGGGGGTTTGTTTGGGCTGAGGGGGGAGTTCTGTGCCAGAGACCTGTGAATATGTTGCTTTTAAGCAGATGTGTAATTCAGAAGATGTATAAGTTCCATTTTTTTTTTGTGCGTGTGAGCGTGCGTACACGAGTACCTGGTGCTGGCTATGCTTTAGCAAACACTTTAAGGTATTGTGTATTCTCTCATTGTAATATAATTAAAATGTTTTATACAGAAAGCCGTGTGTGCTGGTGTCATCAGTGCTTTTCGGGGGAAGGTAGCAGATTAAAAACTGACGACCTACAGCTGAACAAAGCTGAAAGAAAATGTAGGTAAAGACGTTGAAAAGTTTCGGGGTTTCCTGTTTGGTTTACGCAGCTGTGAAACTGGAATATTGGGGGGGATGTTTAAAGTTCAGAGTTCATCTTTTGTCAGCGTGACAGCGAAGAGACATTGGGTGACGGCGTCAACAAACAGGCGCAATTAATTCGACAAATAACTCGTCAAACTTTTATTAAATCTCAGCTTAACACTGACGAGCTTCAAAACATGTCTAGCTATTAAACTGAAAGTCCAGAGATTTATGGACATCTTACAGCACAAAACCCTAAAGACTTCTTAAAAATACATCACATGAATAATTTTTAATGATAAATAAAATGTTGGAGCGAAAAAACAAATCCAGTCGATTCCATCCTGAAGGGAATGCAGTTGTTGAAAACAGTTTACAACAGGGGTGTCAAACATACAGCCCGGGGGCCAGAACCGGCCCACCAAAAGTGTCCAATCCGGCCCAGCAGATGGGTTTAGAAGAAAAACTTACATTTTTGACATTTCACTGCATTTGTCAGTTTTATTATTTTATTATTACTGACAAAAACATCACGCACAGCATAGCATAATACACCTAAACAAAAATAATAAAATTATTCTATAAAATTAACAGTAAAGATCTCTTATTTATTCATTTCATTTCATCCAGAAAAAAAAATTCTGTTATATTACAGAACAAAAAGACCCTTTTTCTGTTAATTTATGCTATTATTCCTTAACGTGAAAGCCAAACAGCCGTCCTTGTTTTTCATAATGCAGAACAACAGATATATTTAAAATTGCACTTCATGTTCATAACACATCATCGTTTAAGCGCGTAGTTAAACTTCTTTACGCTGAATCTAAAGGGCAAACAACTGGCAGTGTGTTTTTAAGACTTTATTAGGCAGTACTGTAGTTTCACTGGTCCGACCAACTTAAGATAAAATTACTCTCTATGCTGCCACAACAAAGAGTTTGACACCCCTGGTTTACAATAAAATAAACTTCAACAGTAAAGAAGATTTTACTAAAGCTTTAAATTTTCTTGTGATTATCCATGCATCAGTACAGACCTGCTGGCAGAAACATATATGCTTTCCAAACATAAGAACGATATTACAGCAGACGCTGTGTGCTGACACCTGTAACAGATATTCTCTGCAGTTTATTGCAGTGTCAAACCTGAAAAAATGAACCGTAAAGCATTTAAGTACAGTTAAGCATTCAACTACAGCTCTGATAACTAACCGATGAAGTTAAATTAAAATTACAAAGTCACGTGATCGTGATTTGGTCTAATTTGAGCTTTTAGCTGGAGCTCAATAATAAATGATATGTTAATAAATATAATAAACTTGAAAGAGCCAATGAGAAGAAAGCATATGTGCTGATAATAACGATGTTTATAATCGTCTTTGACAGCAGATTTGTCAGCAGAGGTAACCCGACAGAGGAGTCAGACTGTTTCTTATTAAGAGAAATCGTAAACAGCGAGCATACAGCAAAACTTCAAGATGATCGAGATGATCAAAGGCAATCATGCCGAGTCCACACACACACACACACACAGACACACAAACACACAGTGCTTTCAGATAAACTGCCGGGGTTTCTGTGGGACGGCAGCAGCTGAAGCCAGCGTCTTGGCTGCTTCTTTGGCCTTTTCTGACGCGTCCTTCACTGTGTCCCTGAGCAGCCGCTGGGGCGCCTCTCCTGTGGGAAGAGAGGGAGGGTGAGGCGGGAGAGAACGAGGACGACAGGCATCAGCAACACTGCGAGATCCTTGCTGAGATCAGGATGCTCACAGACACTTCTGTGGCCGATTTTCTCGTGACTTTCATGATTTAGTAGCTTGAGAAGTGTGCTGCCTTTTTTTGTTCTTGTTTTCGGAGCCACCCACAGGAAACAAGCACACAGAAACACACGCCTTCAAAAATCAAAGAGAATACTTTTACTACAGTGAAGATAAAGTGAGCTCCTCTCCGTGCACTTGTTAACTTTTACCAGACAGTGCTCACTCAGTTCAGCGCTGTTACTAAGTCAGACCTAATGATCACAATTGTGACTTTCCTCTAACAGTCATTAAAGGTAAGGAAAGGTAAGGTGACACATACAAAAAATAAATACATATCAACAAGGACCTTTCTAAAAAGGCTTCACTGAATAAGTCTGCACTCTCCTCATCTGTATGCTGTCAGGAACAGCCTCATACTGGATTTAGCGCCAGGGGCTGCACAGTCTATTTGTGTCTGCCCTGACTATGAACCCCACAACCTCGTGTGAGAACAACAACCTGAGTCACAAAAAGACACAGTGATCCCCCCCCCACTCAAACACGAGATGATAAGGAGATACATTTCCTTCAATTCTGCACTTTTATTTTTTTAAACCGAGACGTAGATATGAAGTGCGAGTGTGCGTTAGCGCTGTCAAAGGGAAAGGGCTCTTTGTGTGTCTGAACGCTGACAATAACAGCGGGGAGGGACTCCTTACGGTCAAAAACAAAAGTCTCTCACGTTTTTTCAAGGCAGCATTTTTTAAACAAAGCAAAAATTGCTTATTGGATTTAAATGTAGTAAGCAATATTAAAAAGAAAAAAAATCCAATCAGCAAACTATAGTAAAATTCATATCAGCAAAGATATGAACTTCTGGAGACGTGTGGTACTTTCAGATACTCGCATGCCAACTGTCTAAGAAAACATGTTTTGTATCCCAAGATTGTATCTTGGATCAAATCAAATAAATGCATAATTATAATAAAGGTCAATCAAATGGACCAATATGGCAAGGCCATGATGATCCAATAGGTAAAGTAAATCCTTCAGACAACAATTCTGATGGCTAAAGAGCCAAATGGGACAGGCGGAAAAAAAAAAAAAAAAAAAAAGTATTATTTTGTATTTTGTCTGTGAAGGTTCTCAGTCATCCAGGTCATCGTAGTCAAAGGCGCTTGCAAAGAAAAGCGTCTGGACTTCTTTAAGTTGCTTGAAGATGTTTCACCTCTCATCCGAGAAGCTTCTTCAGTTCTAAGGTCAAATGGTGGAGAGTCCCAGAAATAAACCTAGTGGGAGTGACCCCCCACAGAGGGACAAAAGGACCCCCTGATGATCCTCTAATCGCCTGAGCCAAGGTGGGAAACTGGGTGTGGGTCCCAATCAGCCAGAGTTTCGGGTGTGTTCATTGTGAAACCTGGCCCCACCTTATCATGCGAATTCCTGAAGTCAGATGGCCCAGGATGTGAGTGGGCGTTAAGGCGTCTGGGAAGGGATCTCAAAACTGGATTATAGATGGCAGAGAGTTGGTGTCGTAAACCCCCGCCTCTGTTCAAAGATGGTCGCTCACAGTGGACATAGATGGCTTCTTTCACTCCTCTTTCAAACCATCTGTCCTCTCTGTCCAAAATGTGAACATTGGCATCCTTGAAGGAGTGTCCTTTATCCTTAAGATGCAGATGGATTGCTGAGTCTTGTCCTGTGGAGGTGGCTCCTCTGTGTTGTGCCATGCGCTTGTGAAGTGGCTGTTTGATCTCTCCAATGTAGAGGTCTGAGCATTCCTCGCTGCACTGTACAGCATACACCACATTGTTAAGTCTGTGTTTTGGCGTTTTGTCTTTCGGGTGAACCAGTTTCTGTCTGAGCGTGTTGCTGGGTCTGAAATACACTGGGATGTCATGCTTGGAGAAAACTCTCCTGAGTTTCTCTGATACACCGGCTACATAGGGGATGACAATGTTGTTGCGTCTGTCCTTCTTATCCTCCCTCGCTGGTGTCTGGTCTTCTTTTCTGTGCCTCTTTGCTGACTTTAAGAACGCCCATTTAGGATAGCCGCACGTTTTGAGTGCTTCCTTTACATGTGTGTGTTCCTTCTTTTTTCCTTCAGGCTTAGAGGGAACATGTTCTGCCCGGTGGTGTAGGGTCCTAATTACTCCAAGTTTGTGTTCCAAAGGGTGATGGGAGTCAAAGTTCATCCTGAACCTACACAACCCAGAGAAGAAAACACACCTGATGCCAGTCAGGAGAAATGGGTTAAGAACTTTTCAGACAGGATTCTCACTGAACTTGAAAAGAAAGTATTAGCCAAAGGACTCAATTTTGCCATTTCTCCACAACAGTTGCCCATAGTGGACCTCATCACAGCCACAGAATCTGCCATACGGATTAATAAATGATCACAGACAGAAGCAGAGCAAATCAGGATGAAAGTCTCAGCCACGCTCTCCAGTGCCAAAGTCCCTCCATCCAACCTCACAATACAGGAAAAGAAGGCCGTCGCTTCCCTGAGCAAAGACCACAACATCACTGTTTTACCAGCTGATAAGGGAAGATGCACCGTGGTCCTAAACACTACAGATTACCATACAAAGATCACTACTCTCCTCAGTGACAACAATACCTACGAAGCCTTAAAGCAAGACCCCACAAGCAGCTACAAAAAGAAAGTTATAGCTTGCCTTCAAGACTTTGAAAAGGACAAAATTATTGACCGCCTTACATATCACCGCCTTTACCCAGGGGATGCCATACCCTGCATCTATGGACTTCCTAAGATCCACAAGGAAGCTGTCCCACTCAGACCCATAGTCAGTAGCATAAACTCAGCCACTTATAACATTGCAAAACACCTTGCTACCATCCTTGCTCCTCACGTGGGGAACACCCCACACCACATCAAGAACTCCACCGACTTCACCGACAAGGTCCAGAAACTTACCCTGGATCCAGATGAAACCATGGTGTCCTTTGATGTAGTCTCTCTCTTCACTTGCATACCCACCACGGAGGCCGTGGAGACTGTCAGAAAACGATTACAAGAAGACAGCTCCTTGGAGGACAGGACCAACTTCACACCCGATCAGATCTGCACACTGTTAGACCTCTGCCTCACCACTACATATTTCAAATACAACGAAGGCTTTTACAGACAAAAACATGGCTGTGCCATGGGCTCCCCCGTGTCACCTATTGTAGCCAACCTTTACATGGAGGAAGTGGAAAGGAAGGCTCTTGGCTCTTTCAAAGGAAGAGTACCCAGCCACTGGTACAGATATGTGGACGACACCTGGGTCAAAATCAAGACACAAGAAGTGGAATCCTTCACTGCGCACATCAACGCTGTGGATAAAAACATCAAGTTCACCAGGGAAGACACAAAGGACAACTGTCTGCCTTTCCTGGACTGCGCTGTGCACATTGAAGAGAACGGCAACCTCAACATCGAGGTTTACCGGAAGCCCACACACACGGACCAGTACCTCCTCTTTGACTCCCATCACCATCTGGAACACAAACTTGGAGTAATTAGGACCCTACACCACCGGGCAGAACATGTTCCCTCTAAGCCTGAAGGGAAAAAGAAGGAACACACACATGTAAAGGAAGCACTCAAAACGTGCGGCTATCCTAAATGGGCGTTCTTAAAGTCAGCAAAGAGGCACAGAAAAGAAGACCAGACACCAGAGAGGGAGGATAAGAAGGACAGACGCAACAACATTGTCATCCCCTATGTAGCCGGTGTATCAGAGAAACTCAGGAGAGTTTTCTCCAAGCATGACATCCCGGTGTATTTCAGACCCAGCAACACGCTCAGACAGAAACTGGTTCACCCGAAAGACAAAACTCCAAAACACAGACTTAACAATGTGGTGTATGCTGTACAGTGCAGCGAGGAATGCTCAGACCTCTACATTGGAGAGACCAAACAGCCACTTCACAAGCGCATGGCACAACACAGAAGAGCCACCTCCACAGGACAAGACTCAGCAGTCCATCTGCATCTTAAGGATAAAGGACACTCTTTCGAGGATGCCAATGTTTACATTTTGGACAGAGAGGACAGATGGTTTGAAAGAGGAGTGAAAGAAGCCATCTATGTCCACTGTGAGCGACCATCTTTGAACAGAGGCGGGGGTTTACGACACCAACTCTCTGCCATCTATAATCCAGTTTTGAGTTCCCTTCCCAGACGCCTTAACGCCCACTCACATCCTGGGCCATCTGACTTCAGGAATTCGCATGATAAGGTGGGGCCAGGTTTCACAATGAACACACCCGAAACTCTGGCTGATTGGGACCCACGCCCAGTTTCCCACCTTGGCTCAGGCGATTAGAGGATCATCAGGGGGTCCTCTTGTCCCTCTGTGGGGGGTCACTCCCACTAGGTTTATTTCTGGGACTCTCCACCATTTGACCTTAGAACTGAAGAAGCTTCTCGGATGAGAGGTGAAACGTCTTCAAGCAACTTAAAGAAGTCCAGACGCTTTTCTTTGCAAGCGCCTTTGACTATTTTGTATTTTTTAAAGTTATTTATTTTCATTTCATTAGTTCATTTTTTTAAATTAATTAATAAATTTTTAACTTATTTATCTAGCTGCCAGCATTGCTGAAACCATGTTAATAAAAAAAAAAAATCCACCCCTGTGTGCGATCAAAATGTCAGAAATATTTCAGCATTCCCGTCGTCTGGGTTTACCCACACTGCCTGAACGTTAAAGAGTCCTTGCAGACTACAAACACGGGTGGGAAATAACCTTCCGGTCTGTTTCTGTGCTGTGGCATTTCAGGTGATTTTCATTCATTATGTTATGAAACAAATACGGCTGTTTACATTTAGACATCTCAGGACCTGACGACCTCTGAACACACCCTCATCAGTCCATCTCTCTGTATGTGCTCTTAAATAGCAAACTAACACATAACCATAGATTTCTCCTTTACACTGACAATTTCCCTAACAAATGAACGAGGTAAGGACAAACCTTTTTGACTAAGAAAATCGAATTCATCATTGTGTTTACCACCAGAATACAACATATGCTGAAATCCTTCTAAAAGTGAGTTTTGCCACTCTGTAGCCGTTTCGGTAATGCCTCTGGGCCGTTATTTTGAAGGTGTGCGTGTACAAACAAAGACTGAGCAACAGTGCTTAAAAATGCTCTCATAAACGCTCTGCTCACATTGATTCTTGCTTAACCCATATGGAAAAGATATATATAAATCTTATAAAGTTTGTATCTGTCTTGTATGAAACTTGTATGTTTTGGATACTTACTAAAAAAAATATATGAAAGTAATGAGAAAGTGGCCACTTTCATGAGTAAATCATATAAGTTTTTACTATTTCTTTTCCATATGGGAAGATAAGGCTGAAAAACCTTCCCTCTGCCCCAAGCTTACACTTCTCTTCCAAACATGTAGACGAAGTGTAAGCTTATACAGTTGGTATGAAGTGACCCAAAGGATACATTGTGTTGTTTACATCAAATTCTATTGTCCAATTTTGGTGAGCTTGTGTAAATTGTAGCCTGAGTTTCCTGTTCTTAGCTGACAGATTGCACCTGCTGTGGTCTTCTGCTGCTGTAATCTATCTGCTTCAAGGTTGTACATTCAAAGATGGTCTTGTGCCTTCTCTGGTTGTAATGGCATAACAACATGGTATGCAGGGTGCTCAGCTGCGGACAGGAAAGTACTGCAGAGGGTCATCAACACAGCCCAGAAGATCACTGGCTGCTCTCTGCCCAGCCTGGAGGTCACTGCAAACTCTCGGTACCTCAGCAGAGCTGGCAATATCATCAAGGACCACTCTCACCCCAGCAACCAACTGTTTAAACTATTACCGTCAGGCCGACGGTACAGGTCACATAAAACCAGGACAAACAGATTCAGGGATAGCTTCTTTCCCAGAGCTACCACCGTAGTAAATAAGCACAAAAACAATTGAACCTATTCCATACCGTCACTGTCATTATATTATGCTGCTATTCATACTGTCATTATATTAATGCTGCTATGCTGTATATATTGTACATACTATTGTTTGAGTACTTACGATTGTTTTTTTGTACTTTTTATATTTTACATTTATATTTATTATTGAAACTTGCACCAAGGGAGTGGCACTCCAATTTCGTTGTACATAACCCCTAACCCTGTACAATGACAATAAAGGCTATTCTATTCTATTCTATTCTATTCTATTCTATTCTATTCTATTCTAATGAGAGACAATTTGAGTTACTGTCGCCTTCCTATCAGATCCTATGGCTCCAACAAGGCAAAACTGCAGCTCACTGGACATTTTCTCCTTTTCATTCTCTGTAAACGTAGAAATGGTTGCGAAAATCTCAGCAGATCAGCAGTTACTGAAATACCCAGACCGGCCCATCTGGCACCCTCAACCACGGCACATGTAAAGTCACTTAAATTCCTCCTCATAATGATGCACAGCTTGAATTTAAGCAGGTTATCTTGACTGGGTCTAAATACCTAAATGGCACCCAGCTGCTTCCACGTGATTGGCTGATTAGATATTTGCATTAACAAGCATCTGAACAGGCCTGCCTAACAAAGAGTCCAGTGAGTGTGATCTTCTCTACATGAAGGTTTGCCAAATTTGATGAAATTCCTTCAGTGGTTGATGATGACTCAAAACATCACAACCGTATTTAATTCGTTTTAAAATAAGAATCACATCAGAATCAACTAAACAACACATCTACTTCTATACTCTAAACTACTATTTAGATCACTGTTGCTCAGACAGGGTAAAAAGTTACTGCCTCAGCTACGCTGTCTACTCTGTGCAGCAACATGTGACAACCCCCGGGCAACGCCTGGGATGGCAGATGGATGCCTCAGTCCTAGCACACTTACCATGACGCTCAGCCTGATGCCGATTCCTGTAGTGGCATCAACAAAAGTGGCAACAGGACGGAATCACACAATCAAGACACACGTACGCTGCATCAGCACAACACACAGTTTGGAACAATGTAAATATTATCTTATTCTTTGGGGTTAAATTTGACTTTCCACACTTAATGTACAAATTATTTGAGGTTATTCGTAGTGCGCAGACTTACAGTACTTTTAAAAAAAATCCCTCAAATGTGAACATTTTCAGGTTTAGCTGGTGTCCTATTATTTTAAACTAAACCCTACCCAATATGAGAAACTGATAAATCAACACTAGAAAAAGTGACTCATCTGCAGATGGTTCATCTCTAAGTGTTGTTGTTTCTTTAATACATCTCTTCATACATCCCTCATTATGATTTACTCTGTTAAACTCTCTTTATGCAACACTGACTACCTAAATTATTTCTGTCCAAACCTAAATTAGGAAATTGTGCCATTTGTGACTGTAGCTGTCATGGTTTCACATCCCCCCGCCTTTTATCACATGGCACGTGGAGGAGTAAGATTTCTTCAGGCTATTTGTCAATTATGTATTTTCAGGATGCTGGGAAGTTTAGTGTTGAGTCCAGAGTGGCAGGGGTGAGCCCCTTCAGGTTGTTATGACAGCAGTCCTGTGTTTCTGGGGCGAAAAGAAAGCTCCATTTCCTGTTTAAGTTTTCCCCCCTTCCAGAAATGGCAACAGTTAAAAATAAGCTGTTTTGTTTTCCTCTGCTTTTCCTCCTGCTCTCTGCCCTGTTTCAGCTGGAACACACATGAAGTGTACATACCCTGCAGGTTGGACAGCGCGTATTCCAGCCCCTTCATGGCCTTCACCTGGTTGCTCTTGAAGCGAGCCAAACCAAACTCCTGTGAGAAGACAGAACAGGAAATGGCTTTACACAGGGGAGATTGTCTGGGAAACAACACCGTCTTGTCACTGCAAGTCTCTGGGGATATCCAAACAAGCCTGGCATCTTCCATATTTAATGATTCCAATTTAGTAGACTTATTTTTTGTTTTGTTTTTTTGCTGTAATTTCACTTCTCCCACTACTTTATTTTAGCATGAGCGCTAAAGTAAAGATCTGAAAATTCAGGACATCGGCCTCTAGAATGAAAAGAATTGCATCTATTCTATCTGAACCGCCGTAGAGTAGATGAAAGCAGACGAATAAATGCTTCTAAGAGTACTCATATCATTCCTGTGCTGACTGACATCTAACTTACCTAAAGGGCAGATGGGCTCTTACTGAAAGAAAAGAATTCATTTACCGTCTTGTGTCTATCACACAAAGGAAAGCCAGAGTACAGACTGTATATAAAAGTTGGGAGAAGCAACCATGACATCGCTGTGTGGTTTGTGGATTATTTTTTTTGAATTTGCAGATTTAGCACGTTAGACATTTATAGATGGTTAGCGCAAACAGTTGCTCTTACTAAGAAACTAAGAAAACGGCACAATAAATCTTTATTCTGTTTAGTTTACTAAACACGGGATCATAACTTCTTTTAAAAAGGAACATCATGATTTGAATTTAGCAACCAAGTCCAAAAATGTAGGAGGATAGTGCTTACTTTGAGCTCCTAAATCAAATAAGAAGTCTGATTGTTTCCTCACAGAGGTCTGCTTGCAGCTACATGAGTTGCCCTCTGCTGGCAATGAGAGTGAATGCAGGTCTCAGGCACATTTATATACAGTGGTTTTGGCTGGGGTCTGTCTGTACCTGAATGGGTTTGGAGAAGCCATAAATGCTCGAGGATATCCACGCCTCACGTTTCAGCTGTGTGGTCGCTGGATGCTCCACTGAGCCTTGGAAAACACAACGCTCCTCAACAGACTTGATTGGGAAAGAAAAGTGACAGCAGGTTATAATAAACTAAGATGCAACTCAACAGATTTACTATGGAAGTCATCATTTCAGGATTTTAAGTAACTCGTGGTCTTGGCAACAAGATTTCTGGAGACGTAACTTCACTAAAGACGATCTTTCTTTCTGCAAAAGCCTTTGAAGGATTTGAAGAACTGTTTTTGTCTCAACAACTGCACAGAACTACCATGTCTCAAAATGTTTTCCATATTTTCCCATGAAGCCATCATGTTTCAGACTGCAGCAAATTAAAAACACAAGCATCATCAAGTATGTTGTAACGTAGTGCAGTTTTCATTAAAGTTTTAAGAAAAGATCATAAAAATATAACATTTAGTTGTGTGTATAAATGCGTGTGCGAAATAAGGACCTCTGTCCTTGTGTGAACTGATTTCTTTATTCCTGTTATTGTCTGTGCCAGACTCTGGCAACCCACAGTACTCTACAACACCTGTAACCACAACAGTGATGTGATGTCAGACCACATTACTTTCCTTATATCATGGCAGCAAGATGACAGCTTTGACAGAAGTCCTACACAGTTTCACATGTAAAAAAACAAAACACAAACAACACATACCTACTTTCACAGCAACTTCAGCAGAAAAACAAGCAGAGTCAAGTGAAAATTTTAATTTCTCTCCACCACACAAGATCACAAAGGCAATGATGATTAAAACCCATCAGGAAAAAGGCATAACACAGGAAACTGGCTGCGTGTTGATTAGAATCTCTCTGAAACAGCTCAACAAGTAGACGGCAGGAAAAAAACAACAACAACACAAAGCCTCACCATGAGAGTTGTGTGGTTGAGGTTCCAGGTGTAGGTGGTCAGGCTCTTGTTCACTGGGTCCACGATGGAGTCCTCGATGATGTACACAGAGCGAGACATGCCGGCGGGGAAGAGCCGCTCCGCCCAGCGAGGCAATCGATTGGTCTTCATTAGAAGCCGTCTGGAGAGGAGCCGGTGGTCTGCTGTTACCTCCCGGTACACGACGTCCTCCGTGAGAACATGGGTGCTGGGTGACACAAAAACACACAGCCACATCACCTACAGGGTTACTGTGAGGCTTCTCATCTGTTTCTAGTGTACGTTCAAAGAGTGCACCATCATAATATACACCAAAAGAAAGAAGAAAAATATATGCAAGTAAAATATTCTGATGTCGTCTAAGTCAGGCATAAAAAAAACAAGAAGCACATAAACCACCTGCCCACCTCGATCAGCCAAACTTAGTTTTGCTTCTCTGATACACTGTCTCAGTTCTCAATCTCACTCAAGACTGACAAGCGTATTTTTGCTTGCGAGCCTCCAAAATTGAAACAATATACAGGCATCACCTGCACGACTGCCTAGTTTTGAAGAATGATTAAACAATACACTAAAACATTGCACTACATAATTATTTACATTTTCTAAACCACAGTTCAGCAAAGTTAATGTAATTCCTACTTTCCAACTAGTGAGGAGATCAGGGGAAATAGAAAGCATTTAAAAGATATCACACAGCATTCAAATGTTCACTAAAAGTAAAAGCCAGCAATGGTAATCCCAAAGTCAAAAAGGACTCGTTTTTTTGGCACCTTAATTTTTAGTAGCAAATTTTATGGCTCTCCATGTGACGGCTGAAGGAGGACTGACATCTGAAGGCATGCTGCTAGTGTTTTCTAATGAGCACCTTTGATAAAATACTGATTATGAGAATGCTGGAGTACCTGAATGGGTTTGGGTACCTCTGCCAGAAAGCAGAGACAACATGGTCCCATGTACTCCTGATGTCGGTGCTGCTACAGAAATACTTGACCATTTTTTTTTTGATGGTGTGCAGGACGGTGTGAATCCCAAACCCTGAGGTCCCTCGCTGTGATTATACAAATCAGTGAAAAGTTTGGTGCTGACTCCATCCACAGTCTGTGGTGATCCTGCAAAAGTGAAGGGAACAATGAGTAAAAAGGTTACGCGGATAAAAATGCTGAATAAAGAGTATTTTACTGCTGGGTGGGATGGACATGGTCAGCACCAATAGTCAGATAGGCTGTGGCATGTAAACGATGGTCAGTTGGTAATAAGGGGCCCAAAGTGTGCCAAGAAAGTATCTCAAACACTATTACAACTTCAACAGTCTGCACCATTAATAAAAAGCAGGATGGATCCACGCTTTCATGTCATTTACACAAAACCTCTGATCCTACCATCTTAATGTCTCAGAAATAGAGACTAATCAGACCAGGCAGCATTTTTACAAGCTTCTATTGTCCAATTTCAGGAAGCATGTGTGAATTGTGGCCTCAGTTTCCTGTTCTCAGGTGATAGGAGTAACAGCTTGTTCTGCTGCTTCAGAGCTTGATGTAGTGTTGGCTCTTTCGCATATCATGATTGTAACCAGTGTTCATTTGAGCTGCTATTGCCTTCCCATCAGTTGAATGTTCTCTGACAATCATTCAGACCTGCAACCAGCTCACTGGATATTTTCTCTCTTTTTTTGGGCTTATTCTCTATAAACCCTAGAGATGGCTGTGCAGGAAAATCCCAGTAGATCAGCAGTTTCTGAATGCTTAGAGCAGTCCGCCTGGTACCAACAACAACGCCACATTGAAATCACCTTAAACTCCAGCAGGTCATCTGGAGCATACCTGCCGGCCTAAATGCACCGAGCTGCTGCGATGTGATCAGTCGATTAGCTAAAACAATGTGAACAGGTGTATCTAATAAAGTGGCCGGTGACTTTATGTTTTTCGATTTTGTTGTATAGACTTCAATGGGTCCCCCAAATATCCATTTTTTTTTCAATTACAGCACCAATAAAACATTTTTGAAACCACCATTTGTTATCTTTTATTGACTTTTCACATTTTCATAGCTCAACATGACGTAAGTCCTTACGTAATATACGCACGTCACCTTGACATATGGTTGGCTGGTTATCGGTACCGTTGGTTTGCTGGACAGCTAAGAGCTATCAAGTTAGCTTCCAGAAACCACTTAATTAACCACATAATTCAAGTGATTTACCTCTAAATGTTATACTGAGCTTAAGTAAAAGACCGGTTATTTCACAGCTTAATGTTAACTGAGTTCAGAGTTTGACAGGAGGTTTACAGCAATAATACCGCACTTCAAGTTTCGGTAGCCTCCCGTTCCGTTAAATGGCCACTAACCGAAATGTGAAACATTCCGGAAATAGTATAAGCAAGCTTACCTGTAGTTGCTGCTACTTTAATGCTAGGCTAATAAATATTAGTTGTTTGTTGAGCCTAAAGCCAACAAACTAACTGATGTTAGCTAGTTATATTCATAGTGTCATATGAACCCGGTCAGCCAGCTCCGAGTCGTAGGTCGGACCGTTTTACTGTAAAGCCACTTCCGGTTGTCGTTTTAAAGTAAAAGCTCTCACAAACATTTCTCTTTTCACGCATTGGAGACTGCTGTGTGATACAAAGACCTGATGGCTAGTCCCGAATTTTGAACCTTTAAAATATATATATATTTAACGAGGAACCTACAGTTTTCATAAAAGTACTCATGAAATACTTGTATTTAGATTCCCATCGTGCCTATTCTTGCCTGCTGGTGTTCTAATTTAAACAGTCAGCTAAAATAAACATTAGCTGCATCCGTTACAATGTAGTAAAGACACTTATTTAATTCTAGAAAAACAGTGAGAAGATGAAGCCAGTGAACAGTTTTTACAGTTGTTCACTAAACGTCACTATGAGACCACCCTGCAGTAGGATATGTATGGTTGCCCATTATATCATTTCACACTCCTTGAATTTGTCCCAGACCAACAAATTGCCAAAGCTTCTGCTTTTATGGAGATGTTACACTTGCTGATGATCAGTGAATGCATTGCATCAGGAGCACCTGGCTGCTACTTTACTCTCTTAATTCCTATGGAAGCAGTAAGAGTGCACTTGGGTTTTTTATTTACAGGGCTGCAGAGAGTCCTGTGATAACTTTCTTTTTCACGTGGCTGTGGTGTTGTTGAGCTCTCTCTGCTCAAACTCACATCCCAGTTTGCAAACCAGACTTTTAGAAATCATTGTTTTTTTAATGCTCACATGAACTGTGGAGTAGCCTAATCAAGACACTGTCCCTTTAAAAGGCCCGCTGAGGCTTCACGTCAGTCTTGTGTTTTATTTTGCCATCTAGTGGGCAGGATGAACCACAGACATGACAGTACCAGACATTTAAATTATTGATGAAAATCTCATTAATTCAGGTTTTCATTCTATTCTGGTCACTTTGAGGCTTTTGTCACCCACAAAACCAATTTCTGGATCAAACTATTCACAGATATTTGCAAGGAGGATGTAATGTGACAGAAGAGCTGGTGCAGGGATTACAGTCTCTGCATCAGTGTCAGGAAAACAAAGGAGATGATCATGGAGATAAGAACGATCCTCAAAGGGCTCCTGGCAGCAGCCTCCCAACAACTACAGACATGTACATAAGCAGATGCTGGAAAGAGCCTCCTGAAGCTTAAAAGACACTACTCACCCAGCACACACACCGTTTGTCTCCCTCCCTTTGGGAAAGTGGCTGCAGAGCAGAACCACCAGACTGAGGGACTTCTTCCTGGAGACTGTGACTCTGCTGGCCCAACCCAAAGGTAACAAACATGAGAAAACACCTGTGTCTTTGTAGTATCCACCACACACATTTAAAATTTGTTTTTTATTTATACTGTGAATTTATCATCTATTCCTGATTTCGGTATATATTGCTATTGTGTGAGCCCGCTTTTGTTCCGCTTAGAGCTGAGTGCAACATTTTGTTTCACTACTGTCATTGGTCCTCCAGTAACCAGTTCATGCAGCAGGTGGCGCGCTATAATACACCACAGAACGATATGTGTCCCATTTCCGACTCTTCTTCTTCGTCGGTGCACTTTCCTGCAGAGGGAAGTGTCCTCCATGGTGTCATTGTAGATCTTTCGAGGTTGAATATTAGTAAATAAGAGATGTCTGGGTACACACCAGACCAAAAGCTCCGTTTCGAGCAGATAACGAAGCTCCGGAGGCAGTGGCTGAAGGACCAGGAGCTCAGTCCGAGGGAACCCGTGGTACAAGCTAAACCGCCTGGCCCTGTCGCCAAGTTCTGGGCTGGTTTTCTGGAGCCCAAGAGCCTGTGGAGGGTTTACGTGAGTTCTCGTACACAGCTGATCCGACGACCGCTAATAATGACATTTACAGCTGGAATCAAACCGAGCGGTTTATCTGCTACTAGTAGCGTTTCATTAAGGACAAGGGCCAGGGTAGCTGTTTACTGCTAACGTGGTTGGCCGCGTTTACTTTGCAGGCTTCATGCCACACACACACAGACCGCATCTACTACAGCTTATATTGTGATGTTGTTCTATGTCAGTGACACAATCTAAGGTTTTCCTTGGATTATCTTTAGTAGATACAAGAACTAAACTGCCTCAACTAAGCAGAAAATACTCTAAAATGTATTTTTTGTAATGGATTCTTTGTTTCCTTGCCACAGAATAGCAACAACAAACAAACAAACATAAAAAATTAATGCTCAAATTGTAATTTTTAAGCATGGTGTCAGTAAAATCTGTTGCTTCAACAATACCTACTTAGTTTAAAATATGCACTATAGTTTAATGCTGGAGAAAAATTATGGTTTGATTGACTCACCAATAAGTTTACAGACAACATTTTAAAAGTGACTAATCCATACCTATGCTATTAAAAATGTTGTGTATTATGCATTGTTATGACCCTGACGAAGGCCATAAGACATAGCGGAATAAAGGAGAATAAATAAGATAAGATAAGATAACCTTTATTAGTCCCACACGTGGGAAATTTGTTTTGTCACAGCAGGAAGTGGACAGTGCAAAAGTTATGAAGCAAAAATTAGAATACAATAAGAATAAATACAGTACACAACTGTACAGAATAGAATAAAATAAAATACTATATACAGTAGAATAAAATAAAATAAATATACAATAAGATAAAAATAGAATACAAATACAAATACTATATACAACTGAGTAAAAATACAACGATGACAGAAAGGATTATTGCACTTAGTATTATTGCATATGTATGGATGTGTGTGCTTGATCAGTTAAAGTCTTTATTATGGAGTCTGACAGCAGTGGGGAGGAAAGACCTGCGAAATCTCTCCGTCCCACACCGTGGGTGCCGCAGTCTCCCACTGAAGGAGCTGCTCAGTGCTGTCACAGTCTGCTGCATGGGGTGGGAGATGTTGTCCATCAGGGATGACAGCTTAGCCGCCGTTCTCCTGTCACTCACCACCTCCACTGGGTCCAGAGGGCATCCTAGAACAGAGCTGGCCATCCAAATCTGTGCATCCCTAGCTTTTAGAAAATGTTGATACAAGGGTAGTCACTGCAGAGAACTTTACACAGAAAAGAAAAGAAAGTCAAGCAAGACAGAATAAATGTGTGTGTGAATGAGAGGAAAGCGGGTGTAATGGTGAAGATGCTAGAAGTAAAGATGGTGAAGGTGAATGGGCAAGATAAGATCAGATTAAATTATAGAAACAACTCAGGTTAATCAGTTTGGAGAGGTTCAGATGGTTTGGGCGTGTGCAGAGTGTGGCTTAGTGGATATATTGGAGATAAGATGTTGGGGGTGGAGCTGCGGTCTTCATAATCTGTAGAACACTGAAAATCTTTAGGCCCTTTATCTAAACCGTATATCACATATTCCACGTCTTTAGTAAAAGAACAAACTCAGTCCCTGTAAACATTATGATTCTGTATGTTCTTCTCTTTACTGATATTTGTTTGTCCTTGCAGACCTACAAAGCGTACAGAGGTGGAGTTTTCACATTAACACGGCTGCTGATACCCGCTTGGATTGTTCACTACTACGTGAAATACCATGTTGCTGTAAGTTTCCACATTTGATCATTTTTATTTATATCTAAGCCTTTAAATACAGGAGATGGATGATAGAGCCATAATATGAAGTTCAAGAAGATAGCTATTTTTTTTTAAAATTGTATTTAATTTGTTTGATAGTATGCAAACAAACCCAGGTAACTTGAAAGAAGAAATGGTAAATGGCCTGTATTTATATAGCGCTTTACTAGTCCCTAAGGACCCCAAAGCACTTTACATATCCAGTCATCCACCCATTCACACACACATTCACACACTGGTGATGGCAAGCTACATTGTAGCCACAGCCACCCTGGGGCGCACTGACAGAGGCGAGGCTGCCAGACACTGGCGCCACCGGGCCCTCTGACCACCACCAGTAGGCAGCGGGTGAAGTGTCTTGCCCAAGGACACAACGACCGAGACTGTTGGAGCCGGGGCTTGAACCGGCAACCTTCCGATTACAAGGCGAACTCCCAACTCTTGAGCCACGATCGCCCACGAAAAAAAACAACTCTATAATGACATCCTGTACTTGTGTACAACTTAGCTTAGAGAATAACTTCACAAGGCAACTAAAAGAAAGAGTTTTAAGTTACAGACATGCAGTATTAACTTATTCTTGGCCAAACTAGAGAACCCTGCACCTTGAATTTCGTTTGTAGATGGAGATCATGTGACTGATTCGATCAGAATGGGTAGCATATTAAAATTCCGTGTCATTGTTCCCTACAGCAAAGGCCGTATGGCATTGTGGAGTTGAAACCCAAGCTGTTCCCAGTAAGTGTGACCCATTTATTATTTATTACTTCCAACAGTTAACTTTTTTTTTGTTTCTCACATAATACCCCATTTATTCTTCATATATTTGTATAAATGTAACTGAATGTTACCTTGTTTTACCATAACTAATACTTTTTTTGTGCTTAGGGTGACACGATCCTGGAGACGGGTGAAGTTGTTCCAGATCTCCCAGAGACCCACGGCCATCATTGAAGAGGAAATAGTTCAGCTTTTTCCTTGAGTTTCTCTTGTAAAAAATTCTGTATATGTGATTAAAATACTCAAAAGTTATGAGTGTGAGCTTGACTTAACAGAATAAATTAGTGATAGTGTTTTAGTAGAATTCCATCCATCCATCCATTGGCTTCCGCTTATCCTTTTCAGGGTCGCGGGGGGCGCTGGAGCCTATCCCAGCTGTCATAGGGCGAGAGGCGGGGTACACCCTGGAAAGGACACCAGTCTGTTGCAGGGTCAACACACAGGGACAGACAACCATTCGCACTCATATTCACTTGCACATTCACACCTAGTGGCAATTTGGATTATCCAATCAACCTATTCCCACAAGTTGCATGTCTTTGGACGGTTTTAGTAGAATTGTTTTTTTTTTTTGTTTTTTTTAATTGTGCAGTCAGTCGATCAGAGTTCATTTTTGCAAACATGGCCATGTGCAGATGAACACTTGAAAGATGCCTTTAAA